TCTAGACAATTTTATTAGAACTAATAATTTTGAAGAACTAAAAAATACAATGCTAATTAGTGTGAACAATATAAAGGATGATTTTATAACCATTTTACAAAGTTTTAAAGAATTAAAGAAGGATTTTAAACAAACGGAAGTCAAATACAATACAAATACTGGAATACTTTTAGATGAGACTAAAAGACATAATAAAAGTATTTTAGCTAAATTAAAGGAAGAAAATGATTCAAATTTTAATATTTATTTATCAAAATTAGATCATTTAAATAAAGAAAGATTTGCTATTATGGAGGATTCTATTGTTAAAAGAGAAGAAGATATAGAGAAAATTAGTACTAAAATAGAAGATTCTTTAAAAAAAAATACGACTGAAATAAAAACTGCCATAAAAAAAATGAATGAAGATAAGAAAGATGTAAATTTAATATTATTGGAGTTAGATAAAAGTAGAACAGAAATATTGAAAGAAATGAATAAAGAAAGGAATTCGAGTGAAATAATAAACAAAATAAATAAGAATAGAGATGCTGATTTGAAAATTCTTAATGAAAATAGATCAAGGGAAATAAACGAATTAATATCAAGAATAGTTTTGAATAGGACAGAAGAATTAAGGCTATTTGAAATGGAAAGAAAAAAAGATATGAGAGAACTTGGAAATTTTGTAAAGTCAGAAGTATTTAAATTAGTACAACAAAATAATTATACAAATCAAAATTTTAAAGATTTATCGAGACAAATAAGACTGCTAAATTCAAAAATTAATCGAAGAAATAATGATAGAGATATAGATCAAATAGAAAAAGTAATACGAAAAAGTAATAGGATGAATGATATACATTTTTCAAATCTATCGCGGCAAATAAAATTTTTAACTGATAAAGTAACAAACAATTTTTAATAATTATATGATATAGTTTTTATAATAAAATTTAAAATATATAGAAATAAAGATGTTGCAAAACTTTTTTGATAAAATACAAAATGAATGTGAAAGTCCTTGGATTAATTATTCTATCACAAGAAGTTTATACGATATTCCAAATGTAAATGATTATTTTATAGTAAATAATGAAAATCATTTATCTTTATTAGAAATAAGAAATAAATTAATACATTTAAACAGTAATTTTTTATCCAATATTATTAGTTTCAATAATACGTTTATAAACGTATCAGAAAATGATTTTAAAAAAATAGTAGAATACAAAAAATTAATTTTAAATATACCTGTAGATGTTTATGAAACTTTCATTCTGTTTAGTTGTTTCTGTATTTATTCAGTAGAAGAAAATGTTAAGTATTTCGTAGCAGATTTTGTAAACTTTACTTATTTGTGTAATTTTTTCGAAATTTTAGAATTTTCAAATAATATAAAACTATCGGAGAAAGACTTGAAACTCATTTTTAAAAATATATTATACGAAGATTTATTGATTATACTTAAAGATAATGTCAAATTAAAAAGTAAAATTAATAAAATATTAAAGAGTGTTATAAGTTTATCTAAACCGTGTAAAATAAATTTTCTATCTTTAGTAGATGAAAAAACTAACAATTTAATAGATAAATTTATCTTTGAAAAGTTAATAATTAATGATGACGATATTATATTTAAAATATTAAGTATGACTTCAAAAACAAATTATAATTTAACAATGGAAAATTTTAAAGATTATTTTATATTCTTTTTTAATTATGAATTAAAAATGAATGTATTTCAAGAAATTGCATTTAATAATTTTCTAAAAAAATGTTCTTTTAACATTACCAACACTCATGCTTAATTCTTTTTTATTAATGCTTTATAAAAAAAGAGAATTAAATATAAAAATTAAAACATTTTATTCTGATTTAATAAGAATTATGCAAAAAAAGAATAACTGTTGTAATAAATTGTACAATTTAAATAAATTGTATATCGAAAATAGAAAAAGAAAGAAGAAAACATAATAAAATATGAAAGTTAGAATTAATTAAAATTAAATAGTTAAAAAAAATTTTATAATGACCACAAAAATTAAAGTACAAAAAAAAGAAACAGTTCTTGAAAAACAAAATAATTATGTGTTTGATTATATAAATTTTGTGAAATTAATAAAGCAAGAGAATTTTAAAAAAGAAATATTGGAAAGAAATTGTTACATAGAGTATTTCTTTATAGGTGCCGGTTTTGTTGCAAGAATAAATTATTTTAAAGTAAATTTAAACAAACTAATTATAGAAAAAAGTTCTTGTGTTTCGAACAAAGTAAGACATTATAAAATAGAAGATAAAATTGCAAAATGCAAATTTATGACTTTAATTGATTTTTTTTCAGAAGCAAATAAAAATAATGCCATAATTTTAAATTTTACTACGACTGAAATAAAAGATGAATTTATTAAATTATTAAAATTTAAATTTATTCCATATAATAAAATTTCAAAAAAATTAAAAAGATATGAAAAAGATGAAATAATTACAAAAAATAATTATATTAAAATAATAAATTCTCATCTTTCAGAAAAAAACATAAATATTGATATTTTGTCAAAAATGCGCAATATTAAACGTTATAATATGGTTACTTTCTCATTAATTTTCGATAAAAATAATTCTTTTATTAATGATATTAAAAAACAAAAAAGTATCACTTTAAAAAATCATTTTTTGATGTTTGACTTAGTCTTGGTAAATTAATTTTTAATCGCTGATTGATTGTGTTGAATCTTCATTTATTTCACTTCTAATTGTTGACTCAGTACTATATCCATTATTTGGTTGTATATATGTTATTTTTTCCCTTGGGTATGGAGCTATTAAAGGTCTTGCGAATTTATTTCTCTCAACTTGTAGAACTCTGTCTTGATATTGTCCAAAAGTAGTTTCATCCGAAGTGGTTGCCTCGTATTGATCAGTTCTTTCACTTCTAGGTGATTCTATTTGAACATCTTCATCCTCGAATTCAATTTCTTGTGATTCCTGATCTTCTAACCTTTGATTATCAGGCCCTTGATTTTCAAATCCAGTTGGCGATCCTTGATTTTCACCAGATGGCGATCCTTGATTTTCACCAGGTGGTGATCCTTGATTTTCACCAGGTGGTGATCCTTGATTAAATCCAGATGATGAGTCTCCGGGATTTGTAGTATAATTCATCTGATTAAAAATTGAAAATTCATTTTTCAACGTATTCAAAAATTTATCTGTATCGAGTTCTAATTTAACATTTATATGTTGATCAGTAGCAATATCAGTATATTTTGACGCTGCTCTTTTTTGTCTTTGTATAATAAAATTTGAAACAGTATTAAAATTTATATCGTATTGAGTTTTTGAATGCATTAAATATTTTGATATTTCTGTAAATTGGTTTATTAAATCTATTGGCTTTGCCAATTTATTTTTTTCAGGATAAAATAGTAAACCAACTAAAATATTTTCAATTGTTGAAGCAAAACCAATAACTATATCATTTAATTTGTTAGTTTCTTGATTTGTTTTTCCTATTAATATATTTCTACGCGTATATAGTCTATCTTTCTTCATAATATCCAAATAATTATCACCACTAGCCATAGTAATATTGTTATCCACCATTTTTGTATCCTGCAATAATTTATAAATAGACGTTAATATATAATTTGCCTCAGCACTTTTTGTTGAAATTTTTAAAAGTTCTTTATTTATTTCTTTCTTATATTTTTCAGTTATTTTTATAAGTTTAGAAAAATCACTCGAATTTACGTTTGATTGTTGGTTGTTGTTAATTTTATACGCATGATATTCAATGTAATTTTCTTTCACTTTTACATATGTATCTTGTATGAAGTTTCCAATTGTTCTTAATTGTTTAGTAACGGTTAAGATTTTTTTTTGAATATCAATGAATTTTTGTTCTTCTAAAAGAATTTGTTGTGAGAAAGATTGTGCCATTATTGAAATACGAATTAATTTATATTAAATCAGCCTATTTAAATTTCGAGTTTTATTCTGAATGAATTATCTATATCTTTTATAATATAATTTATAAAACTTAATCTTCTTTCAATATTTTCATACCTTGCTAATAAATTTTTTTCGTTGTAGATATAGAACTTTATTAATTCATTCTTTAAAGCAAATAAGAAAAGTATGTTATTTATATATATACTCCATTCATGGTTTGTACAAAATGCCAAATGAGAATCTAAAAAACAAATAAAACAGATCCACAAATTTTGTGAATCGTCAGTTCTATATTCATTTGTCAACTCTTTAATTTTGGACCTAATACCAAAATTTATTAATACATCACCAATGAAATACATATTTTCTGCTGCTTCATAATCGTATAAAATATTATTTCTATATAATTTAGTTTCATTTATATTTGGTAAATTTTTTAATTCGTTTGAATTTATTAAAGTGCCTTTTTGATCAGCTAGATAAATAGATACGACCATTATTTTTTTTTAATAGGAATAAAAAAAAATACCTAAATTATTTTAAATTATTAATTTTTCATTAATATAATTAAATAAGATCTTTTTTTTATATAAAGTAAGAAAAAATGGAATATATAATTAATATACACGCAAAGACGTTATCTAAAAGTTTTGGTTTATTAACTCATCATTATTTAACAATTCCTTCAATAGATTTAGAAATACATCCTGGAAAGTATAAATTTGGTACTCATCATACACTAGGAAAATTTAAAAGAAATAGCCTTATTTTTAAAAAATATATTTTATGCGAAAACTGTTATTATGAATTTATGGAACAATTTAAAAATTTATCGATGTGTTGGTACTATCCAATAATTAATTGTGAAACTTTAACATCTGGTATTTTTAAAACAAATACGCCGATTAGTTTTCAAACGATATTATTAACATCGATAATTTTAAGTGTTTTATTATCATTTATTTCGTTTAATATGATTATAATATCAATAATCTCTTTAATATTACTTATATTATATAATAATATTTATTTGGAAACTACAATTGAAAAGTGTTTACATTTGAATGATAATACATAGTTAATTTTTCTATTTATTTCCATATTGTAGTATTTTTATTTTATTTTTTTTATAAAAAAAAATGACTATTGTCAACAATGCCAACATTTTACTTTTTGTCGACAGTTATGATTTTAAATTAACTCAAACAATAATATCAACATTACAAAAAAATTCTATAAACAATTATAACATGTACTATTTTTTCTGTTTGTTGGAAACTTTAGAAAAAGACAATAACTTAAACGATTATCGTGAAACGTTAAATAATTCCATGTCTGAAATTTTTTCAAAGAAAGATTTGAAACAGAGTATTCTATATGTGAATAATATAAATATTTATTCTTTATTAAAAGACTTTACTGGAATTGCTCTAACAACTATTTCAAACCAATTATTAGAAATAAAAAAATTCAATTCGAAAATGATTTTTTATAATGAAACAGAAAATGTTGAATTTCAAAATATAACAACGATGACCAATGTTATTCCTTTAATATTATTGCCAATTAAAGTCGAAATGGCTATTATATTAAATTTACCTCTTTGTAAAATATGGTATCCTTTTGATGATAAGAAATATGGAAATTTACGATGCATTTTGTACAATTTGAGTAATGTTATTTTAAAAGGTATTATTTTTCCTTCTGTAGAACAAATAACAAATTCAATTGATAACATAGAAAATACTTCAATTAAATTACTCGTTGGATTATTTATTAATTTATTAGGCAATGATATTATAAACGAAAATCTTACATCTTGGCTTATCTCATCGTTTCTTGCAATAAAAAATTCTTTCGCTGATATTTTAATTATCATTATTTCTAAAATTCAAAGAATACATAAACAAAAAAACGAGCTCGAAGAATTTGATAATGTAGTTCTAAGTTATTTAAAAGTACAACTAAAAATTTTTGATAAAACAATTGTAACATATAACGATCAACAAGATACTTTCAGAAATATTTATAACAGTTTATATACAGTTACGTTAAAAATTCCAGAAGCTCTTTTGCCAAAAACTAAACAATGTGCTGCTGATATAAAGAAGGAATGCTTAATAACGATTCTCTCAAATTATAATAATTTCTTAAATAATTCTGATATTTTATCATATTCGTTATGTCCAATACAAGTAAAATATATATTATCAACATTTCCTTATTTTAGAGGCAATGAAATTACTATAAAAGATAATCGTATAAAACTAAAACAAATTTATAATAAAATGTCAAATAAATTACCACCAAAATTTAATAAATTAAAAAATATGGTACAATTTAATAATGATTATCAAGAGTTTCAATCAATAGTTCATAATTTAAATTTAACAGAAGAAGATTTTCTATTATTAGATGATTTGATATTTAATATGAATGGATTTCAGTGTGCAGCAATTGCTGCAGAAATATTAAAATACCATCGTAACGTTGATTTAAATTCAAGTTCAATGTTCTTTTTATTATCGAAGTTAAATTACATCCAAATTAATAATATAGAAAAAAGCTTATTTAATAGTTGTACGCTTGAAAAAAAAGTAAAAAATCCTATAAATATATTATACGATGATGAAGAATTAACATTGAAGAATATTGATATGATTAATACTACTAATGCTATGAATGAATTGTTGAGCGAAAAAAATTTTATAAATAGAGCAAATAAAGTAGCATCGATTAAATTGACAGAATATGAAATTTTAAAATTTTGGGAGAATAATAAGAATTATAACGAAGATTTTATAGAATGTTTAAAATTATTGTTAATATTTTCAACTTTAACAATAAGAGCTAAAGATTGGTTAATTTACTCATTAAAATTTAAAAATATTCCTATAAAAGAATTACTAGTAGAAAATAATAATATATTATATAACAATTTAATTCCAAACAGTTTATATTCGAATGTTTTTGATTTATACAATAACTACGGAAGTAGTCAGTTGAAAAATAATATTGGCTCATTGGGTGATTATTTGAAAGAAACGAGAAATTCTAATATTTTAGAAATAATAAATAATATTTGCAATGAAAATTGAAAAAGATTATATTTTATCGTTACTTGATAGAAAAATATTACCATCTTCTGCATGGATATATGAATTAGTCAATACTCAACATTGTTATGTTATTAGAAATAAAATTTATGCTAATATATTTTGGATCGATTTTTGGTATAATGTTTTATCTAAAAAGTTTAAATCTCAAAATATGATAAATTTAGTAGAAAATTTAGATTTAACAAAACCAGTATTTTTAACAGAAAATTTAACTCTTTTATATTCTCAACCAATAATACAAAATATATCTTATTTTTCAGACTTAAAAAATAATTCTGATAATTTTAAATCACCATTTATAATTCCACTGTCTATAACAACAATTTACCTATTATCAATTGCATTATTTATTTTAATCATCTTTATTTCATCATTTTTTTCTTCAATTTCTAAAAAAATTAATATTAATTTGGTATAAATAATATCCATTTATTATAAATAAAGAATTTATTTTTATTTACAACAAAAGAAATTAATTTTTAATAAAAATAATGGGGGCTTAAATTTATACAATATGTAAATAGTATATATAGGTTCGAATTTATTTAATATCAGTAGTCCGAAGTTGCTGTACTGAAGACGACTACATTATTTTCATACACATTTTATTTCATTAAAATAAAATGAATCATTTTACTATATTATCTCTCTTATTGATCATTAAAAATACGCATTCATTTTTATGCGAACCTGAAACTACAATATTTATTGAAAATTTTAGAAATAAAGAAAATTATAGTACCAATGAAAATTATATTGAGCATATGGCAGATTATATATCTGCAATTGACAGTTTTGAAACTGATTCTGTATTTTTTGAATGGGAAAATATAAAAATACCAAGAAAATTAAATAAAATATTTTGTGCGGATAAAAATGGAATAATTCATTCAAAAGATGTAGTATTAAGAGATATAAATTTAGTACTATCATCTGACGATTTAAAATTATATAATAAAAGACGAATTCTTCAACTTTGTCAAGGATCTTTTTTTACAATTATGGAGAATTTTATACAAATGGAAAATATACATATAAATTATAATAGAATAGAAATCCAGTTTCTTGTTCTTCTGATAATTATCAATTTGTGGATATAAATATTTTTACAAGTTTGATAAAGAATCCAAAAACTTTATATCTTGATAAGAGTACAAAATATGATTTGATGTTTGATAAACAGATTAGAATCAAGAAAGAAGAAATTATTAGTATTGATAATAAAGAAATGGAACCATTTTCAACATCTGCAACATCAAATAATTTTAAAATTATATTCTGGGGTAAGTTACATCTTAATTTAGTTTTTTTTGTTAAAAAATTAACTATATTTTGTTTTTAATATTTTTTGAATGTAATTTTTAAATTTATCTTAAATTTTTTAAAAAAACTACTAATATATTTTTTTTATTTTCAGGTTTTAATGGACATACCTACATTGAAAAAGAAGTGATCTGTGAAGAAGATTTAATAACTTTTTCGTTGTTTGATGATGTTATACCAGAATCTGGTATATTTAAAATTTTAAGCATCAAAAGTAAGTTTCAAAAATTTTTTAGATTGCTAGTTGAAAATCTAGACAAAAAAATTATTAAAAAAGACATTGATTTAAAGAAAAAAAATGAAGAACTTTATATAACACAAAAAGTATACTTTAGACATAAAAATTATCAAGAAAATTTATACAAAGAAGTAAATTATTATAATAAGATTAATGGAAAATTTTATGGAAAACAGACAAGGTTATTTATAAATTTATTAGTTTTAAAGAGTGATATTAATTTAAACACAGAATTGATATTGTACTGTCCAAAAACTGGTCCAGAATATATACACGAGAATGTTATTTCATGGATAGATCATACTGATAAAGGTAGAGTAAAAGCTATCAGAAGTCGTAAATTTAATGGGCGATGTCCAAATGGATGTATTATAGAATGTTCTAATGATTTACCCAATTCACAAAGTTTTTATTTTAACATTACAAATGTTAAAGCTGATCGTGTGATAATACCGAGAAACTTTATAATGTCATCTTATACTTATGATAAAATTTTAATAAATGTAAAATCACTAGTTCGAAGGTACTATATAAATAAAGATATTCTAATTGCTGAAATTCATGAAACTATTTTGAAGGACGATCAAATTTTTTTTAGGCAATTAAATACTGGTACTTTAGGATTTTTTCAAATAGTAAAAGATGACTATGAAGCCATTCGTGTTGATGGTATGATTGTAAAAAATATTATAAAACAAGATATTATGGTAGATACACTTGCAAAGAATTTAATAATAAAAGTTCTTTTCTTAGATACAAAGTAAATAATAATACAGTTTCATATATTTCGCCATATAAAAATAGCATGCCTATTTTTTTAAATAGATTTAATTTTGAAGAAAAGAATAAAATGAATTTGTCTACTAATGCAATAAATTCTAAGATTTTTCTTAGAAATAAATTATTAAATGATGTAATTTTGTTTTCGAATAATTATAATGACTTGTATAATAAAATAATTTCAAAAGATCCAAATTCAAAAGAAATTTATAAATTCAATAAATCAGTATTTAAAGGGTTGTTAATAGAAACCAATAATTTTCAAATTACCCCATCGGGTTCATTATTATATGTTCCAACATATTTTTCTGCACCTAGTTTTTCGTGGTTAGAATTTGTTAATTTTGAAGAATCTACTGTCATAAATAGTTTATATCGGAAGTTTTTGTCTGACGAATTTAAGATAACTTCGAAGATTTTAAATTATGCAAAAAACTTGAATAATACAACATTCATTCTTGGAGACGAAGAATCTTCGAACTATCGTTATTTAAAAAATAGCTTTGTATTATATTCGTCATCAAAATATAAAAATACTTTCCACCCAACAATGGGTACAAATGGGTTAATGTTTTCAATTGGAACTGCTCAACTTGCAACATTACATTGGACTTATGTTTATGACATTACCTCTTTTAATAGAGAAAGTAATAGTAGAGACTGGCTTAGACATAATACACAAGAATGTGCAGTATATAAAGGATACAAATATTATTATGGAAAAACATATAACGATGAACTTTGGGAATGTTCAGCATCCGGATATTATACAGGTTATTGCACATATAAAACTGATTGGAAAGATTATATGACCAAAAAGATGTATTTACAAATGGGAAATTTTAATATTTTTAAAAATAATTTATTAAATTTTGGAAATAAGAGTATGAAATTTGTAAGCAACGTTTTAAATGAAATAAATAAATTTACTTTATTAGAAAATATGGAAATAGAAATAATGAAACGAATATATGAATATTTAGATTTATTTCAAAATACGTCTTCTGATATTTTAAAATATACAACAATTAAATATGTAGAAACGCATTTAAAAAGTTTGGATAATGTCGATTTAATCGGTTTAGAATATTATTTAGCAAAAGAATTTATAGAAGATTTATCGAGTACTTTTAGGATATCAAATCAAAGAATTATAAACGAAAAAACTTTTGAGAATAATTCTTTTACAGATATGTTAAAGAATAATTGTCAAAAGAAAGAAAATGATATAATAATAGATTTATTTTCAAGGCAATTACCAAAGATTTCATTCAAGAAAAAAAATATCGACAAAGAAATATTAAAAGTTATTGAAAATATAAAAAATAAGAGAATCGATTTTTCCGAAGAATTTTTAAATTCTACGTATAACGTAAAGAAAATTGAAGATGATTTTCGGAAGATAAATTTGAATAGATTATTGATTGAATATGAAAATAATTTAATGATTCATTTGGAAATGCAAATTGGATTAATAATGCCAATTATACGTAACGAAAAGTTAAAAACATTCGAAGCGTCACAATCTGCTGCAAATATTGGTTGGTTTTTTGGACATTTATTTACATATGGAATATTAAATTCTGCTGAAAAATATCGAATAGCTTATGATGAATTTTGGACTATTGATAATGAAAATGATGATCAATTTAGAGAAAGAAAGGGTTTTTTACTAATTGACAATGTATTTACTTCTTTGAATGTGAAAGAGGATCTTAGTGAAAGTGATAAACGGATAATAATTATTGCAGCTATCCTAAGACTTTGTTCAATTAATAAAAATTGTAACATAGATCCAATAATAAAAAGTATGTTATTATTAATGACGTATAATAATAAAATATTTGGATCAACACATATTAAAATAAACAGAAAAGGTTTATCGTATAATAGTAAAATAAACGACTTTAATAAAAATATAATACCTCAAGCATTAATTCTTATGTCCAGTATGGATGATAAGAAATTTATACAAAGGTTAAATTCTATTACTAGTTTACATGCAACTAGACTTTACAATATAGATGTTTCAGAAATTTTATCTATAATATTACCCAATGGTTATAATATAAATACAAAAAATAATGTAGAATTAGAGATTCCATCTGATATAAAAACATTTATGACACAAATAGATTTTTCGATAGATAGTTATTTAAAATATATAAAAACAATAAATCCTACACTATTCTCTTTCAATAATAGAGATAATTTTGAAAATTTGATTAGATCTTTAATTAGGAGCCAATATAATTTTACATCATTTAAAGAAAATAGTTTATTTTGGGGTAATGATAAAACCGAAGAAGTAGATGATATAAAAAATAATTCTAGAATAATTTTGATTGAATTAAATGAAAAGACAAATTCTATTGATATTGTTAGATTTTTAAACCCAATAAACGTATTAGAACATTGTTCGCAATTAAATAAAGATATTATGAAGAGAATTTTTTCGTCCGGATTTAAAGATGCAGAAGATTTAAATTTTTGTTTTATAAATCAAGATGTTTTAATTCCTTCTTTACATATAATTTTTAAATATAAATTTATCAATTTTTAAACGATAAATATGGTCATTCCATATTTTATGGTCTAGAATATATTTCAAATTCATTTGCAACGTTAAATCGATTTTCAACTTTTATTTGTAATATTAATAATATAGATGAATCTAAATGTTCGCAGATTTATAACATAATTCAAAATATAAATATAGAGCTTACAAAATTAATGACAATTGATTTATTATTAGAGGTTGTTGAATATGAATATTTAAAAGTACCATTTCCAAAAGATTTTATAATACCAAAAAACAAAGAACTTTTGAATTCCATGAATATTTTGTCTTACGAGAAATTTAAAAAATTAGAATTTTTATACAGAAAACGTACTAAATATTCTGAAAATGATATTCCTACAGAAAATGAATTATTCGAGAATTTTTATAATATAATTTCTTATAATGAATCAGATTCAAATATTTTATATATAAAGAAAAGTAAATTGATATTAAATGACAAGGACATGAAATATCTCATAAAGCTTTAAAGTATACAAAAATTTTGAAAAAATTATTTTCCATAGAATTTAATATTAATTCGTTTGATTTTGGTAAAGAGTATCTGTTAGAAGAAATTTTGCCAGAATGTGAAGTTGTAAATTTAGTAGAAGAATATTTTGCAAATCGATATGACAGATTACAAAGTTTTAAATTCAATTATAATAATATTTATTTGCCAGCATTAAATCTTATTAATTGTTCAACAAATGTCCGTTGGTGTAATATTATTTTGTCAAAATTTGGAAAAATAAACTATTTTGAAATGGTCACAAAATTAGATAAATTTAAATGTATAAATGTTTTAAATAAACAAAATATAACTAACTTAATGCATTTATGGACTGCATTAAATTTAACACAAATACCAATAGGTGGATCATTAATATTAGCTATTAATTTTATAAAGAGAGACGAAAATATTCTCAAATATACGAATAGACAATATTTGGCAAATATAATAGAAAAATATTGGAATGACGACGGTACTAATGATTTGTACGTTGATACTAATGTAATAACGTATAATATCTTTTCTGATTTAATTTGTACTTACTTTAAATCTTTCGTATATTCTAAAAAAGAACTAGAGTCTTTTGAAAGTTATAATTCAACAATTTATAAAGATGATACATATTGTCTTCTAGGTAAATCTAGAATTATTAAATGGCGAAATTTACTAGAAATGTTATATGGTACAGATTTTTCTATACAACATCAATTTGATTTATTTTTCCAAAATATAAAAATTTTATCATCACCAAGTAGTTATAACTATATACCCGAATTATTAAATTACTATAATTATAACATCACTCAATTAATATTAGATTTAAAATTTAATTATAATATAACAAATTATGATTTTAGAGAATTAGAACATAATTTATTAGAAGAATCTTTAAATGAATCTTTTATACAACCATCTATAACTATGTTGTTTGATAAATTTTTCCATGAAAATTTTAATTTTGAAAAAATAGAATTCAAAAATTTAGAATCATCTGAATCTTATTACGAGAAAGACTATATAATAAAAGTAATGAATTTATTTAATGATGTTTTGGAAAATTCTTATAATGATGATGATGAAATTGCAAACAGTATCAATATAAATAGAATGAAATCAATTAATGATAATATATATATACTAAATCCAAAATTATCTTTGCAATTATCAAACGAAAATCCAATGTATGTCCCTTTATCAATTTATAATAAATTAATAAATCGGTTCATTCAAAATGTTAATAATGATTTTCATATAAATAATAGAAACTTTGAAAAGGATATTAGAAAGATAATTAGTAATGATTTTAATTATATAGATACTGAAAAATTCAAAAACATAAAATATGATAATACTTATATAGAATTATTATTACTATATTTGTCATCATTATCATATGCTTATGAAAATATAGATTTAAAATCTCTAAACTTTATTGATACAGATATATATTCATTGAAGAATGTTGAATATAAAAAGTTTAGAACTCGCGAAATAGAATTTTTACATTCGTGCTTTTCAAATACTGAAAATAGAATAAAGATCAAAATAGAATTTTGTAATAATGTAAATGGAAACAATCTTATGAATGTCAATCAGTTTTTGAAAAATTTAAATATAGATTTACGTGAAAAAGATATGGAAAAAAAAATCGATAAAATTTATGCAACAGAGTATATTATTAATTATGTTCTATATCCATATCATTTTTTAAGAGGAATAGAATCACAATATGTAAAAATGATGCGAAATGATGATAGAACATTTAAATTATTTGCTGGTTCATCTATGTCATCTATAAAAAGTATAGCAGATACAATGAATTTAGAGGAAAGAGAATATTTTTCACCTGCATATGAATTTCATTTAGATTCTCCTCCTTATTTATATTTAACTCGAGGATTTACGCAAACTTCTAGCGATGCTGCAGTAGTATTTGGAACTGAGTCACAAACTGACTATACAGCTGTCGCAATATCAATACTTTTTGATGTATCTATCGGAATTGTTACATCTATGGTAACGCCAGGATTAAGTACTGTTATATCAAAAACAATAGGCGTAGTTAAAAACGTGATAAAAAATAGTTTTAATTTTATAAAAACTATAGGAAAAAATTTTGCAGATAAATTTTTTATACAAACGACATTAAAAAATTTTAAAAACATAAGAAAACCAACAAATTTAATGAATAGTCCGGTTTCTATTCCAAATGATGGAAGACAAAATATCTTTTCAAAATTACAGTCTAGATTTACAAATAATAGACAAATTTTTCCCAAAATATCGAAACCCGAAAATCATGCAATAGATCTTTCAACATTTACACCTGATGAACTTCAAATTATACGTAAAGTTGCTGGTAGATCAGGATCAAGAGAATCTAAAAATCTTGTTAAAGATTCATTTATCAAATCGAATAACTTTCAAAAATTAGATGATAACTTGAAGCATCTTCGGAAACTATAAATTCTTTATATGCTAGCAGTAATTCATATAAATCAACTGACAGTATAGTATCTTTTTATCAAAGTGCCGATGATTTAGTAGAAACTAGAAATACTATACCAAAAATACGTGAACAATATATTCGTTCAAGAGATTCTTTCGATAGTGGTGGATTATTTAAAAATGAACGACATTTAATTGATGCACGTAAAGCTTATGAGGATTTAGTAAAAAAATCAAGGCCTATAAGTATTAATGAAGGACATAATGCAAAATTTTATCAAGATAAAATATATAAATCTAACGATAAAATTTTAGGCTCTTTTGAACATAGAAAGAATTTACTTGGTGGTACTATTTCACGGGTAGATGATTCGCAAAAAATTAATACCGTAGTAAATAGCATTATTAATGATGAAGTAGGACTAAATGCACGAGGTTTAGGTATTACTAAATTAGAAAATAATATAATAGATTTAACGGGTGAAAATATAGCAAGAAATGGTATTGGCTTAGACACATCTATGGATGTTATAACACCTAAAAAAATCATACAACGTCCACAACAACCCATACCACTTGAAATACCTGATTTATATAAGTTTCCTCCGAAACGACCGCCACCACCTATACCGGTATTTTCAAATGTAGAATATTTGGATGATACAATTCCAAAAAATTTTAAATCTAAACTAGATATACATGGACTTCCTATAGAAAATAATGGCGATGAAACTATTAAGATGTTTTTAAATAGAAATGAAATGAGTTCAATACCGCAAAATACACACTATTATTCTAATCCTCTAATAAATAATGTAGATGGGGTTTCAGAAATGGCTAGAGTTAAAAATATGTTTGATAATATGTTTTTAGGTAGTGATTGGGGCAAGTCAAAATCTTTTCTATTTCACACATATGACGAAATTAATTTGCCAACTAAATTATCTGCTTTTAATACTATAAAAAAGACGTTAAAAAAAGGATTTAATCATATTGACAGATATAAAAACAGGCATCTATTATCTGATATTATAACAACGTCTTATTTTGTTTCAAAAAATGTAATGAATCAATTATATGGAAATATAAATTATACTGACTATTATACTAATTATGATAAAGTAATATCAGATAGATATTTAGATTATATAAATTCTTCAAATATTGACATATTCTCTAAATTAAAACACTTAGATAATAATTCTAAAGAACAACTTACTGTTCTAAACGATATATTTGAAATGTTCACAAATTCATACGTTGGTGATGATAATAAATATTCATTAAAAAGCTATAGCTTATATGATGCTATTAAAAAATATCAATACTGCGATAATTCTTTATTTATAAACGAAATTCCATTATATAGACAAAATTTGGGTGATATAGTTCAAGATATGTCAAACAGTATTGAATTTAATATTCAAATATTTAATTCTTTATTGAATTCAAATTCTAAGTGTAAAAAAAATGTTATTGATATAGTTTCAGAATACAATAATCCAATTTCGTACAAGGAATTTATACGGTAAACAAAATTTCTAATGCTAAAATACATCTTTAAATGACGAATCCATAGATTTAATCTTAAATAACAATGGTTTGATATTACCTAGAATGTATGATGAATACATTGAACCTACTTTTGAAATAATAAATGACGAATCTGAATTTTTAACTAATAAAGAATTAAATATTTCTTTACCAATAAAACAATTTTTAATAACTAAATTTTTAAAATCTTAAAACCGAAAAATCTAAAAAATAGATACGTAATTGCAGATATTGCAAAGACATATATTGATAAATTGGGGAATAATTACATAATACCAGTTGATAGTATTTTAGATGGGTCTTTATTTTCAACCAAGATACTTTTAAATTCTCTAATACTGAGTAATTTGCCATCAGAAAGTATCTTTTTTTACTCAAAAAAAATGAACCTGCTATTTGTCATATGTGTTTATTCATTGATTTAGAATCAGGATCAGGTTCTATTATAAAATATAGAAGAAAAAAAAGAAGTCTTAATTTAGAACAGATATCAGCAAAAGAATTATCGTTAATTGAAATTAAAACAGAAGTTAAAAAGGTGTATTGTTTAGATCAAAATATAGAATTAGAAAATTTTTTAAGAGATAATTTATGGATATTTATTTTATTGAGTATTTTTATTGTTGCTTTTTCAATAGCTGTATTTATTTTCATAATACATAAAAAATATAATAGATTAGAATATTTACCAGTATCTTTAGTTTAAATTTTTGTAAAAATTTTTTAATAAAACTGTCATTTAAAAAAAATATTAATGTTTTTTTTTTAATTATAAGATGTATTCAATAAATTGTGCAAAGAATATTTTTTAATTATAAGATGTGTTCATAAATTATGTAAAAGAACATTTACTTTTTAACTGAAGAGATCTATATTGTAACCGAAAAGATGTATATTGGCACTTTTTTTTTATAACTTAGGAAGTTGTTACTTTTTTTATAACTGAAGAGACGTACGTTTACTATATAAAATGTAAGAGGTGTATGAAATATAATATTCAATAAACTACTATATAAGAGAATGAGATGTGTCAATTCATTAGACCACAACCTTTTTCCTAATACAGATGTACTAATCTATTCTGTATACTGCTTGAAAAAAAATGGCATCAAAGATAAAAAAATATAAAGTATATAAAAAACGCAATTCAGAAAATGAAGATGAAGATGGTAATTGCAAAATTCAAAAAAGAGTTAATGAAGACACTTTTAAAGAACAAAAAAGAATGAAAAGAATGAAGAAAAACAAAAATAGAATAAAATCAATGAAAAATAAAAATGGAAGAACAAATAGATTATCATTTTCAATATCAGAAGAATTAAAACTTACAAAAGATCCAGATTTCTATGATGAACTAAACGAAGAACCAGATAAACTAGAACTCAAAAAAGATCTAAATTTTTATAATGAACCAGATGAAGAAAATCCAGATTTCTATGATGAACCAGACAAAAAAAATCCAGACTATGAATCAGATAAACTAAAACTCAAGAAAGATCCAGACTTCTACGATAAACCAGATCCAGATGGACCAAATAAGAAAGATCCAGACTTCTACGATGAACCAGATCCAGACGGACCAGATAAGAAAGATCCAGACTTCTACGATGAACCAGATAAGAAAGACCCAGACTTCTATGATGAACCGGATCCAGACGGATCAGATAAGAAAGATCCAGATTTCTACGATGAACCAAATCTAGACGGACCAGATAAGAAAGATCCAGACTTCTACGATGAACTAGATGAAGAATCAGATAAGAAAGATCCAGATTTCTACGATGATCATTTTAAAGTTTCAGAAGATGCATATGATGCAGATGAAGAAGATAATCAAAATGGACAATTTGATTTATTAGATCTGCACTCTTACGAACAAATAAATTACGATTGTTTAGAAAAGGATGAGGCTCAACTACAACCGATACCAGTAGCGGAAGTTCAACTACAACCGATGCCAGTAGCGGAAGTTCAACTACAACCGATGCCAGTAGCGGAAGTTCAACTACAACCGATGCCAGTAGCGGAAGTTCAACTACAACCGATGCCAGTAGCGGAAGTTCAACTACAACCGATGCCAGTAGCGGAAGTTCAACTACAATTAGAATTGGAAGATATACAATTAGAAGATGAATTCGATTCTGACTGTGATAGTGGTGTAGAAACAGATTGTATTTCTGCATCAGAATTTGAATCTTTTGTGCCTCACATAAAAACAAGATTAAATTTGTTAGATGAAATTGGTCATATGTTACATGACATAGATGAAATTGGTAATCTATTATATAATGATCATTTCATTACAACAACAACACAATTTGAAAAGGACTTATGGCATGATCTTGATTTAGATTTTTTTAGAATACATGTTTATAAGATTGATAGATTATATTATCTATATAATAATACAGATAAGACATGTTATGAAATTGGTTTTCGTATGTCTTACAATAGAGATTCTGTCTTTGTTGTTTTAACTGCATTCAAAATCAATGACAAGTATAAAGGCATTATACTAATCACTGAGAATTATACAAACTTGTATTCTCGAGTATTGAAGAATACTTTTGACCTGTTTGGATCCTACATAAATTATATAGATATTCTAACAAGTTCTTTTAATTCTGATGGATATAAAATTAATGAAAATTATATTTCACAGATGAAATATAGATATAAGCACCTTCAAAAATACAACACCAAGAGTTTAAATCAAATTAAAAGAGAGCAAATTGATAATTATAATAGTATGAAGAACAAATTTAGATATAAATTTTTGGACCTAGTTGAATGATCAAAAAAAAATTTGTGGATTAACAAATATCTATATCAGTACTACTATCACTATCTTCTTCATATATTGTTGAATATGTACTAGATGTTTTTTTTGAAGGTTTACATTTTTTTAGTTCTTTAATACTTTGATCATTCTTTTCATTTTCTGATTGTCTTTTTAATGCAGATATAGCTTGAGATGATACAATTTTATATGTTGGTTTACTTGTACTATATGTGGATAAAAGATTCATCAAACTTTCAATGTACTCATTACAATTTGAATTATCAATAAACATAATTCTAAATCGAAGTATAAGTTCTTTAATTAGTTCCTCAGTTTCAATGTTCGATAATATAGTTGGATTAATTTTTTGTTTTTCTTGATATGGAATAGACGAAATTTTAAGAACTGATTTTTTAAAATCTGTACTATCTACATTTGAGCTTATGCTCATAATAACGATAGTTGAAAGTTTATTAATATCGCTTTTGAATTTATTATTGATTCGACAATTAACAATGAAGAAATTTTTATAATAGCAAACAGAATTTTCATTAAAATTATCTTTCAAACTTTCATTTTCCCAATTGACAATATCTGGTTTTTCTGACGAAATAATTTTATCATTACTATTTATAATTTCTTTAGTTTGCTTTGCAATTCCAAAAATACACAATTCATTATTTTTATTCATTCCGGCAACTAAATGATATAGATGTTCTTGACTATATTTAAAAATAATTACATCATTTTTTATTTCATCTTTATTATTTTTAAAGTAATTTTCTTTCAAAGAGTTGATTAAGATTAGTTGGTCTTCAGGAGATCGTTCTTGTAGAACTAACAAATCAGATTCATTTGGACACAAAAACTTTTTAATCGGCTGTAAAATTTCTGAATTTTTTGTATAAGGTGTTTGTTTTAATATATGTTTATTTACTTTTTTAATTTTCCCTTCACCAATTACTGCTAAATTGAAAGTTTCTAATGTAGGATTAAGAAAATGATCTGTTTTATATGTAACATTTTCGAACAAATTTCTTATAATAGTTGGAACAGAAATAGAATTAGTCAAATCAAGTTGAAGAGTTGGAGTAGTATCTAGAATTATAACGTTTTCTGAAAAATCTTGATTCTTAAATAAATGATTTAAGTTCAATAATCTAGTTTCCCAAGTTTCTTGTTGAAGTGCATTATCATTATTAATTAATATGTCTACAAAAGTTATAGTTCTATTTGATAAAATTACTTCAAACACATATTTTTCATTCGTAAAAATGTTTTCTTTGTATTTTCCAATATAATTTTCTATTCTTTCAATAGATGAAGTCAATATTTTTCCATTCAAATATTTTCTATTTTAATATCAAATATTTTTGAAATAATCTGTTTATTAATTTCAATAATATATCTATATCCATTAACTATGAATGCTTTATAGTGACCATTAGTTAAATTAACATTGGTTGTATTAAATTGTAAACTTTTAATATTGGTATAATCGAACGACATTTTATATTAAAATTATTTTAGTTTATTTTAATGTAATATAAAATTCTTTTACTTCTTTATAAAAATTATTATCCACTTAATTAATATTCGATGTATTTTTTTGAAGACTTAATAGTATAAAACTTCATAATTTGTATAAATTATTGAATAAAATTAAGAGAGACACACATATTACTGAAAAAATAAAATGCAAAAAAATGCGTTATTAAATAGCCACATTAATTTGTTGGAGAGAAATGGCATTTCAATTAGTATTTTGGACAATGATACAATTAAAAACGCATTAAATTCAATAAAAAAAAGAGATGGGGTAATTATAAGCGACAATTATAAATGTAGTTTATTAAGAACAATAAAATCACTAAATAAAAATGTTTCAATATCACCAGCAACTTTACATTTAAAAAGAAATAGAAATAAGAATACATATATAGAGATAAAACAAATTCAATATGTTTCAAATGTAATAAAATATGCATATAAATTTGATGTAAAAAATAATCCTTCAGAAGAAGTGTCACTAATAGATACAATAATAGCAATCTTAATTGTAACCTCTACAAATATTACTTTACGTAATTTATATGAATTAAAATTTATTGATCTTCAAAATTTAATATCAAATGACAGAATTATAATAAATGAGCAAATAATTTTAAAAGCACCTATTTTTAATTTAGCTAGCAAAAAAATATTAGAATTAATACAATACAGAATAACTTTTTTTACAAAACAAAAATTTGTAACTAAATCGACAGTTACAAAAAATTATGTAATAACTTGTACAAAGGATAGAATAAATAAAAAAATGAAAATTTTGACGTATACTCTAAATTTTAATGATAATAATGATTTAAATAATGAATCTTATACTAAAGAATACTTAGGTCTTCAAGCTATACGAAGTATTAATAAAGACACAATTTATAATATAGTGCAGAATTCTTAATTTTCAGTTCTTAATTACTTTGATAGATCAATAGTCGCTTTAATTGTTTTATAAATTTCTTTTTTTTTTAATCCATTCTCTCTATATTTTAAACTACGTAATATTGCATTATTTTTTGTTTCTATTTTTATCACTTCTTTCTGTTTTAAATTTTGATACATTTCTTTTTCATTTGAAGAAGTTCGTATAATTTCTTTATCATTTTTTTTAATGCAAGTTTGAAGAGGATTTTTAAAGATCTTGGAAACTTCATTATTTAACAATCCATCATTTAATTTTATATGGTTTATTATCTTTTCTTTATCTTCAATTCTAAATGATCTAGAAGGTTTTAAAATATTAGAATTTTGCTGTTCTTTCAATTTATAAGTAATAATGGAACCACGTTTCTCTTCAATAACATCCATTAATTTATAAGTTTTTCTTTCCTTACTTGTGTAATCATCTAGATGAACATTCACATGTAATATATGATTTAACGAAAAGGGAAATTGCTTTTTTTCATGGCTATTATCAACTGAAAAATTACCGGTTTTTAAAAAATAATTTATGTTTATATTACCGTTTTTAAAAATACCTTCACTATTGAAAATAACTTTTGACCTGTTTAAATATACCATCAAATAATTTTCTAATCTAAATAAGAAATTTAATTGTTCTTCGTTAACTCTATCTTCATCGTTATACTTATTATTATAATATAGAAATACACATGATATTTCATCACATTTTTGTCCAATCATTAGATACATCAATTTCTTATCATTTTCCGGAATTCCTTCTAAAATGTGTGTTGTTTCTTTTAAAAAATAAATAAAATCTATTTCAAATCCAAGAGGATTTATATAACCTCTTCTATAATTTTTTATATAATTAAGTTTACAAAGAATTTGATTTGACATTAAACTTTTAATAGATCCTTTAAAATCATTAATTTCAACGTCCAATTCTGTTTTATATGTATTATGATCAACTATACGACCAGACAAATCTAAAAGATCCGTAAATTTTTGAACAGCTTCATTGCATAATTTCCTTTCATCTAAACAAAATTCACACATTTTAAACTCAAATATTAAATTTTCCTCTGAAAATTTTTCTGAACATCTACAAATTCCTCTATTCGTAAATTTTTTTAAATCTTGAGAAATTTTTAAGAGATCATCATACGAAAAAGAGTGTATCGAATACTGGTTAAAATACAGTTGAAGTTCATGTCTTGAGTACTGCAAAAGCTGAAAAGAAAAATTGTACTATTAAAATTTTGCATTTAAATAAAGTAAAATTTAAACTTAGAAATAAAAGAAAGTTTATTACAATGAAGTAAATTAAAAAAAAGTATTAATACTTACTTTTTTCTTAGTAATGATTAATGTTATACAAAATTCTTTTAAATTATCCATTTTTTTGCACATTGCCTTATATATATTATACGAGTCTATTAATAATGTATTTTTTAAAGGACCGTTCATTTTATGAATTAATTTGCAAATTGTTTTATATCTCATGTCCACTTTGTAAATTATACTTGCAGAATTATAAAGAAGTTTTTCTATTGTTTCATTGAGATCATCTGTTTCTTTATATTTATATATTTTAAGAAATTCTAATACATTATTTAATTGTTTTGTAATATCTTTATCAGTAAGAGCTCTAGAAAATTGAATCTCTTTTTCCATTATATTTTTATAAAGAATAAAAGAATGTAGATTATAGTTTATGAAAACAAAAAAAAGGTAGTGTATTTTATAAAGTTTTCTTATAAAATTTAGGAGAAGTCTAATTTTTTTTAATTTTTTAATTCGTCTTATATAGTAAACATCTTAAAATAGAAGAATATGAGTTATACAGATAAAGATTTAGAAAATGCAATTTTTTATAGTAACCAAAGAATTAGTTTATTAAATATAAAAAAAATGTATGAAAAATATCCTAATATTGCTTCGCATTTATCGTACTCAATTAATATTGCGGATAAAGAAAAAGATTATTATTATCCAGATACATTTAAAAATAAAGCTATTTTAGTAAATGTTAATATACCAGAAAAACTATGTGAAAAACTATCTTGTAATAGTTCAAAACAATGGGATTCATGTTCAACAATAGAAGAAGCATCATATTATAGAGTTGGTGATCAAAATATTTTTGAACGTGTCTGTCAACCTGCATGTTATAATTTATTAGATGAAAAATCATATGATGAAGAAACGGGTATAGAAAATACACAAATGACTAGATTAAAATATACAAATAAATTTGGTTGTGTAATTGTTCCTCCTGCAACTATTTGGTTTGAGCAACCATATTATCGATCACAAGAACACTTTGAAAAAAGATTGAATGATTTACCTTTAGGTTTTAATAGAGGCGAAGAATTCCCTTATAATTTTTCTGGATTACAATATGAATATAATTCTATGTATTGTGAATCGTACTTTGATAAATGGAGTGAAGAAAAAAAAGGATTGTATTGTTCCATGGTATGAAGAAATTTTATATGCAGTAGTTGGTGAATCTGTTATAAAACTAGTAAAGGCAGGAATTCAATTGGTGGAAAGTGGGGGAAAATCGACCTATCCTGATCCAAATTTACCAGATCCGCCAAAAATTGAGGATGAATGGTTAGTAAAGAATTGGAAGAGTGATATTGATAGTACTTTTATTGTACCCGATGGTGATTTTGTATTTTCAACAGAAATTAATAAAAAAAACATAAATAAAAGTAGAAAAGAAGAATTATTCAAACCGATTGATTATAATGTTTATAATAAAAAAAAATCATTCTTGAGATTATTAAAAAGCAAAAGACGATCTATAAGTTCTAAAATACGGGAAAAACTAGAAAAAAATTACACAATAGCCCAATTAAATGCAGACGAAATAAAAGAACACGAAAAATTTCAATCGAAAAAGAAAACATCAAAGAATACGTACACGAAAAATATAAACACATTATTTTTTAAAAATAAAAATGTTAAAGATGATAATACTGTTTCTATAGGAGAAATTATTGGATCTTTAATTACAGGTTTATTAGAAGGAATGACAACTTTAGATTTTTGGGAACAAGTTGGCATTGGTATTATAACAGATATAGCTTTAGATAAGATTAAAGATTATGCGTTAAAAGTATCTACAAAAATTATTCCGAAATTAACCGAAAAAATTTTAGCGTTAAGTACAAAATTATTTTCAAAATTATTAGAAAAATCAATTTTTGCAACAATGGCGAATACTGTCAGTAAAATTGTCATAAAATCAATCAGTAAAGTAATGATAGGTTTATTCAAACTGTTTGCTGAATTAGCATCAGTTGTAGGAATAATATTAGCGATTTTAACGATATTCGATTTAGTGTTGAGTTTTTGGGATCCTTTAGGATTTAATAATAAATTTGACAAATCTATTCTACCTTCAATAATGAAAGAATCTGATAATGGATTACGTATGGAATTAGAAACTCCAGTACCAATTTTATCATTCGATATTTTATGTAATATTATGTTAACATCAGACGAAATAATTGAAAATAATTTAAATGCGTTTACATATATTTACGATTACTTAGATAATTTAACAGTAAATTCAGACGGTAGTAGAATTGATAAAGGTGATGAATAAATGTTTCTACAAATACAGATCAAACAGATAATGATTATGCAATTGCAAAAAAAAAATTTACACGCAAACAGAATTTTTTAATTATGAAAACGATCATGCTATAAGATTATCTTATTTTCAGTATTCTAAGAAATACATTATTTATATTTTAACATTTGCTGCCTTTTTTTTATTTTTAGAAATGTACATAATAGCTCTTTTCGTAATAATTTTAAGTCTAATATTAGTTTATTTGTCATATATAAATACAACAAATTTTAATATTGGCAAAATTTTTAATCAAACAGTTGATTTTATGAATTATAAATTTTAAGCCTTAAGGAAAATAAATTATTTGTATTGTTTAAAGATTGCGAATTATAGTAAAAAAATTTCTTGAATATCTTTCAAAATGGATTTGGTAAAAAAATACGAAGAATTATATTCTATCAATAAAAATCAAGCACAATGTTTAGATTCGATGCATTTAACAGAAAATAATAAATATATAACTAAAAAAAAATTCAAAGTTTCTAAATTGCATGAATATAAATTTGATATCTCTTGTATTAAATATATCTCTTCTAATGATACTGACATTAAAATTAAAAAATTAATGCAAATATTATCGAAACTTCAAATCATTGAATATTCTATTATTAATAAAAATAAAGATGTTCTGTTTAATGAAAAGAACTTTTCTTTTGAACTTAATCTAAAAAATATATGTTTAAATTTAGATAACAATAATAATTATATAATAAGCATTAATTCTGGGTATGCAATGTCTCTTCAAGATCAAACTATTTTATTTATATCTCAAGAAATCACATTTGATAATATATATATCCAACCTATTGCTATAGATGCTAGGGATAATGGATTAGTGTATTTTCATATATATTTAGAACAAGGTTTTCAAATCTTAGAAAGTATTACTTTACAATGTTTTTTATTTACTATAGCTAGAAATTTAGACATAAAAAATAATATAACAAATAAACCATTAATTACAAAACAGAAACAAATTTCGAATATTTGGAATTTACCTATGGAAGAAAAAATTTCATTCGACAATTATCCAAAACATTTAAGTAAGCATATAATTTTTAACGAACATTACAATATTATAATTATTCCAAGAAAAAGAAATTTGATAGAAAATGAATCAATTGTTAATGTCTCTGGGTATTATTCGAAGCAAAAATTTAATATTCATATTCAAGGAGAAAATTCTTCGCTCTGTATGTTTTCGCCAAAAATTAGAATGGACCCGATATTTATAAAAGTTTCTAAATTCAAAAAGTTATCTCCAAGATCTGGATTAAATGGTAATATATCGTTTAGAGATAATTATAAAAATATAGTAGAAATATTTAAAAATTTATTCAATATTAACAAGATGGTATTAGATATAAATGATGTTGTTAATTCTTGGGGCGATCATAATGACGAATTTTTTAAATCAAATTTAAAAAGAATTTTATACATTACTCAAATTAAAGCGACAAAAGGTAATAATATGAATAAAATTAAAATGATTATAAATAATATGAAGAACGAGAAAATTGAATATTCTGATAATCAAATTTTAGATAATTTTTCAATCCAAAATTATAAATCTATAGACGATAAAATTAGTGAACAAAATGAATCTTTAAAAAATTATTTTAAATTAAAAAATTATTCAAATACTTTAGAAAAAATAGAAGAGCCTACAGCAAAAAGAAACTGTGAAAATATTTGTAGTAATGAATGTAAAAGACAAATTGCTAAAAAAATAAAATTAGATTAAAATGAATATAACAATAAAAAATATTTTAATCGATTACATAAAAAATTACAAGAATATGAATCACGATGATCTTAAAATAGTAAATGATTCGTATTTTTATTTATATTTTGATTTCATCGAATCGTCAGAATATTTAGAAACTGTATCGGATTATTTAGAAGAAACATATGGATTAATAAACAATCATTTTAATTTTAATAATTATTTATTTCACGAAAAACCAATTTTAATTGATTATACGACGAACTATGTTTATTTTTTTAATAATATTATTGATGAGCAAGAACTTATAATATACAACTTTTTAAAAAAAAATTATTCAATATACACACAAAGTTTAATAGCAACAAATTCAAATTATTTAAAACCTGTTATATTAATGTTATATAATCAATCTACTGTAATAAATTTGTCCATAATTAGTTATATTTTAACTTCATTTTTATACTGGGGTCCTTCTATTTTATCAATATATTGTAAATTAAAAAAGAGTTATGGTTTTGTTAATGTAGATTTTAATATGCCATTTAATTTCTATTTTATAAATAATTTTTTTAGTGTTGAAAAAAATAAAACTATTAAAAATAGTACATGTTATCTTGATTTGTATAATGAGACAATCTATCTAACTTCTAAAAATATATAAATTTCAATTTTTTTCTTATAATATTAATAAATTAATTTTTAAAATTATAAAATTAGTATTAAATCAACTTTCAATAAAGAAATGCGACAAAAAAAAATAAGAAAAATTGATGAGAAAACGAAAGATAATGTTCAAATTATCAGCATTCCTAATTCTAGAGACGATGACTCATTTATTATGAGAAATAATACAACAAATGATATAACAAATTCTTTAATAAAAAAAAAATTAGAAAAAACGTATAATGAATTTTACATTGGACTAGATGAATATTATTTTATTTCAAGTAAAGATATAATTAGAGAACATAATAAATATTTAATTTATATTTCAAACAATATTTTTGGATTCACGCAAGAATTTGATCGTTCTGAAAATAATTTTTTGTTAATCAACAGTACTGCTATATTAGTTCAAACATTTTTAAATATTTTAGATTATAACAATATTTTATTTTATACAGATATTGTTGTTGGAATAACAAATAATTTATTTCTTGGTGAAATATTATTATTTGAAGTTGACGATAATTTACAAAAGTTTAAAATTTATGTCAATAGCTCATTATTACAGCAATTTTTATCCACTAACTTAAAAAATTATTCTTTAAATTATAGCAAAGATATATCTTCAATTTCAAATTTTATCATTGGTTCTCAAAAATACGAAAGCGATAATACGTTTTTAGGTCAAACTAATACAATGATAAATAATCAAGAAATAATTTTGAAGATATTTATTATAGCAGATCATTCTGCAACTCATTATTTAGATAAATATAAGAACAGCGATACAGATTGGATTCATCATTCTAATTTTGGTACTAGTACAAAGTACATTACTACTCATAACATTTTTAAAATATCTGCAAATATCTACACAAAAAATAGAAATAAACCTATTTTGACAACTTTAGAAAATTCCATGACAAATTTTGTAAATTCTGTTCAGAGTTCACAATATTTACCAGTATTTCAATTAAATAACAATAACTTTTCAACTTTAATACAAAATACATTTTAAAATGAAATTTTCTAGTATTAAAGAAAAAAATGATTTTTACAAAAAACATAATAGAGAACAGTTAAACATTCTAAAATCTATCATACCAATACAGAAAAAAAAAGAATTCACTTCTGAAATAACATGTACGTGTAAAAATTCTATATTTTGCGTACAAATTAAAAAAAGCTTCAAGAAGAATTTGAAAATAAAAATTGATGATACAGAAAGTTGTAACGAAGAAAAATTATAAATCTTACTTTAATAATTTTAAACATACATTTAAAATAGATTTTAATAAAAATTACACCGATTTAGAAGAATTAATTTCTATAAAAAATATAGTTGCATATTATAAAAACAGAATCACTGATAAAGAAATTGTCCTCAATTCTATAAAAGTTATCTGTTCTACATTAAAAATTACTCTGGATGAATTATGCAACCACCCATCTGAAATACATGAATTATATAATATAATTATTAATTTATTAATAAAATATTATCATGGTTATTCTAATAATAAATATATTTCAAATTCTAATTTCAGATTAAATGAACTTAATTCGTCTACTATGTTAATTTCTTATAAATGTAATTATTTCTTATCTATTGATAGACCTAATGAAATTATATTAAACAATATTAGCTACGAAAATTTATTATTTAAATATAAGAAAATAAGATCTTCCGATATTTTGGATAATGCCATATTTTGTAATTCTATAAAAATGTTATTATTGGAAGGTTCTGTAGATTATGATGTTGCCCATTTGAATAGCATCAAAAATTAAAAAAAAATACAAGTTAAATATACTTAGGATATAATTGGTTTTATTATGGCTTTTATTGGTTTCCTACAAATTGGACATAGTTCTAATACTGTAGAACATAAAGAACACGAAATCATATGAAAACATGGTAAAAATACAATTTCTCTTTTTAAATCCATACAAATTTTACAGACATTTTCTATTTTATCTTCTGATTTAAATTTTTCGCATGGATTTTCAATATTTTTATGTAAATTTTTGTTTTCAACATTGCTACTTTGATGCAAATTTTTATCTTCAATAACAGATATTTCTCCATTACTTAGACATAAATTTTTATTTTCAATGATAGATGTATCTTCAACATTATTTTGATGTAAATTTTTATTTTCAGTATCTTCAACATTATTTTGATGTAAATTTTTATTTTCAATAATAGATATATCTCTATTTTGAACTGAATTTTTATTTTTATATAATTCTTTTTCCATGCATTGTAAAGTTTTTTCAATACAATCTTTAATTTCGAAGAATGGTTGTTTAGTTTGTTCAATTCTTCGTTCTAGAGCATCTTTTACTTTATCTTGTGGAAATCCCATAGAAATAACAGCTTGCATAATATCTAATTCCATTAAATCATTTAAATCACTTTTACTGATTTTAATTATAGATGAACAACTATCTAATGATGCCACTGATTCGTCAACCATAACTTTTACTTCATCTTGAATCTGTAACAAAAAAATGGTTATATTAAATTTCAATCATAGCTCATTTCATTTTGAATTTGTAATAAGTAATTATATTAATTTAATATAAACAAATATAAGATTAATAAAATTTTTTTTTAAGTTTTTTTAAGTTTACTTTTTTTTACCTTATCAATGAAATCTTGCCCTTTTATTAGAAGCAAAAATGTACATTCTGGGAACCAACGAGCGTGTTCATTCCAAGGTAGGGTATTAGGCATCCAATTACGTAATCCATTTCCACAATGGAAACATCGTACGTGATCACTCAAACCTAAAATAAAATTTAATATATGCATGATCGTTTAAAATAAAATTTAATATATAAAATATTTTATTTATACAATAAAAAAATTTAAATGAAATTTACCACAATAAAAAAATCCTGCTTCTGCTAATTTTTTAGGATCTTGCTTAATGTCTTGTGACCATTGAGCGTAACTTTTTAGTCTTTCTTCATACATTAAGTAATCTGTTCGTCTAGGACTATTATGTTGAGGTAGATATAATGTATATTTTATAGGTTCACAAATATCTATTTCTACCATTTTATTTTGTGAGTTAGAAACAAACGATAAATATTTATCGTCAAATATTTTATCAAATTTCATTGGAATATTTCCAACAGGCAGTCCTCTTATAAATGGACAATTTGGAAAATGTTTTTTGTGTTCATTTCTAGGTATATCATCTTTCTCCCATTCACCTACAATACCTCGACAAAAAACACAAGCACAATGGTCATCTTTTCTAAGATAATAAAATCCATCAAGTGCTAAATCAATTGGCTTTAGCCATTCTATAGGCCAATTTATAAAAGTTTTCAAACGTTCTTTTTCAAATTTTAAGCTGTCATAATGTAAAAACTTTCTTGATGTAGCAGTATTCATTTTATCCGTTTAATAAAATTTTATCTATAAAATTAATGTGATTTATGTAATGGTCCAAATGTGAATGGTCTTTCTAATTCCACACGACTATATATAAATAGCAGTATTGAAAATACCATTTTTTTCCTCGTTCTATTAATAAAGTAAAAAAAAAGCAACTTAACAAATATTTCTTTTATTCTTTATAGTAAAATTTTTAAGATCATACATAAATACATTTATAATGCACACTATAATAAAATGCAATAAAATTTTAAATTTTGTAATTCCCATGAATGTACAATAAATGTATAATAAAATGTATAGTAATAATACATAATAATAAGGACACAAATCTTTGAAATACAAAAAATATGCAATACACAATAATTGCAACAAGATAGAGACATAAAATTGAATGAAATTTAATATGCAATACACAACAATTTCAACAAAATAAACAGATCTTAATATACAATAAAGTAATCAAAAAAAAATTTTATTAATTAAAACTCATTTTTATAAATATCTTGTAATTTTTTAATATCGTTTCTATAATAAGTTATAATATTTTCACTGAGCCCATTATCTTTTAATTTATCTTCGCTTTTTATTGTATCATTTTCTAATTTGTTAATGCGAGAAACAAGATGCAAAGAATGAGGAAATTGTATTGAGTTATTACGTTTTCTCCTTTCTGTTTTTGCATGTTCGTTATAAAAATTATTTGGATAAAGAAAAAATGGACATTTTTCATTTTGACAAGCATTTCTTAATAATCCAGTATGTTCATTATATTGAAATTTCTTTTTGATTATTTCATCCGATAAATTTGTATAATATAATTCCTTTGCCTTTTTAACAACTTCATCTATTTTCATAGGTTTTATAATAATAGGATCATGTATATTATCATAAAATTCAATCCACCTTTCTGTTAAAGTATTAATAAATTTTTTGTGTGCCTCAGATTCAACTATATATTTTTTTAGTTCTTTTTTTACTTCTTTTTCAATAATAGGAATGCAATCTTCGTATGCTTGTAATGGTGTTAACATTCGGTCTTTTGAACTTGTATTATTTATTGCTTGAACTACTGAAATTGCATAAGTAGTATGATCATAAAGAGTTTCTTTTTCTATGCCCATCTCTGCAAAAAATTTCTCTATAATTATAAAATTGACTCCTGATAAGTTATAGTTTATTTTTTTTATCTTTCTAAGAGCAGAAAAATTGCTGTATTTAATAAAATCTTCGTTTTCCACAATAGTTATTACAAAATCGTATACTTTTAAATCCAGAAAAATTTTAATTTTCTCTATATAGGTAGTCAATGTATATATTTCTTCACAATTTATTTTAAAATCTCTTTTTATTTTGCTAAAAAATATTTCAAGATTAATATTTTCTATTTCTGTAAAAAAAGTTAAATATGGATATTTATTTTTTTTAATTTCAAAATTTCGTCCTAAAAATTCAATAAATAAATATTTGAAATACTTTTTTAAATCAAATCGTACATCTAGAATTTCGCTATGATCAATATTTTCTGAAAAATAATCATTTTCCACATCACTAGAAATTTTAAGACTATCAAAACTATAAGCTGAATCACTTTCCATAGAATCTAAAAATTTATCAACACATTCAAAAGGTTCTTTTAATTTACAATATATATATGTAAGAAACATTACTTTTGATAATGTTTCACATCTGTATATTTTATTATCTATATGTGTGAATTCTGTTAAAAAGGCTTTTGGGAGAGTATCTGCTTTTGAAATTAACATCCACATTCTTTTATACGGCATTCTGTCTTTATAAATTTTTGCAGTATGAATGACATCATTTATTTTACTCTGAAAAAAGGATTTTTGATTTGGAAAGTCTATTTTATAAAAAATTAATTTGAACCAAAGTGAACAAAGACTAGCCATATGAATATTATAATCAATAACCAATGGATTTCTAATTACAGAAAAAGTAATTAGTCTTGCAAAAATTTCAGTATTAATTAAAGGGCCAATTACTTCAATGACTTTTTCAGAAAAAATAGGTATAATTGAATTATATTGAATATCATCACTGTTCCAATTAATAGACGCATAAGTCTGTTCATTAATATTCTTATTTAGAATCTCTGTTAATTTCCAGAGTTTATAACTTGTAGATTCTGTTATATCTGGCAAAGATTTTTGATCATCTGATGCATCAAGTAAAATATTGTTATCATTCAATTCGTCAAGTAAAATATTTTGATCATCTGATATGTCAAGCAATTGTTGATTAATAGGAATGTTAGATGTATGAAAAGAATTAATATTAGGCAAAGCAAATTCATTATCATCAAATTCATCAAGTGTACTAGAAAAATAATAAGTAAAGTTTCTTTCAGGAACATTAAAATCAGATTCAAAATCTGAATAATCAAAATCTATATCTGAATTTTCATCTGCTTGACTTTTAGCACACTTAATTAAAGAATTTTCAAGAGCAATTTGACTTAAAATATCATATGGTGCACTTACTATGTTTAATATTTTCAACCCCCACGGATTTAATAATAATCTCGGTGTTATAAAAATTTTAGCAGGAATTCCCGTAATTGTAAAATTTTTTAAAAAATTAAATTTTGAAGTATTTTGCAACAAATTTTGGAATTCAGGATCTTGCATATCTAAAATTGTTGAGGTCAACGTTATTCTACAATTTATATTTTCTTTAAATGCATCAAATTTATTTATTTTTTCTTTTAAGGCACTATAAATATTTATAAATTTTTCTTTGTCTTTTGCATATTTTTCATCAGTATCGCCTTTTAGTTTCATTCCTTTTTTTGTTAGTTTACCGCTCATTCTAATGGTAGATTCTAGAATAGACTCGACAATATTATACGAATTAAATAATTTGCCATCTTTTATAATACTTTCAATTTTTTCAATCGATAATATTAAATTTTCATAAAGTCCACTTACATTAAATTCACTTGCATTTTTTTGTTTATCAAGCTTTTCATCTTTTTTTTCTTGCAACAATTTCTTCATTCTTTTCATTATTGTGAGTCTTTCATTTTTTTCTTCATTATTCTTTTTTGTTACAATAAATTTTTCATCTTTTTCATCCTTTGGAATAATTTTAATCCTTTTATTTTTTTTGCAGAGATTTTCGTACTTTCTTTTTTCTTTAGTATTTGTATAACTCAACATGAAATTGTTCACTATATTTTTTAGAATGAGTAATAACCTTAGTAATGAATCACAAAAAGTTGGAGTTAGTAAATCTCTATATTCTTGGCATAATAATGAGATTTTCAATTTATTATAAAGTTCATTTACAATAGTAGTATTATATTGCGGAACTAGATTCTGTAGATCTTTAAGGGTCATTTCTTTATCTATTACTGGTATATTTTTTTTTGCTATTTTACTATTTTCTTTTTTATTTAAAAACTCAACTTCTATAAAATTACAGTTGTTATTGTGTGGCATAAATATATAATTATCCACGGCAAAATCAAATCTACCGTTTTTAAAATCTGGCAGTAAAAAGCCGGGATCTTTTATTAATCTAAATTTTGTTATAATATTATTTTTTTTTATCGTTGATGCCAATTTATGAAGTTTTTCTGTGACTTCATTTACATCTTCCTGTTGAAACGAAATAAAAGATTCGTTATTCTCATTTCCAGTATGTAAAATTTTTTTTAGGTTTATAGAAATTATCACTGGAAAGTTCATTCCAACGCCTAACAAATAAAAATTACATATTTTTTCAGGTCTTCTTAATATTTCACACACATAATTAAAATCTATACTGTCATCTCTTATTCTAAGACCCAAATTATGTTCACCATCAGTAATGAAAAATATGTTAGTTATTAACGTCTCCGACTTTTTTATTTCTTCATACGTGGCAAGAATTGCTCCATATAAATTTGTTACACCATATCCAATAATTCGAGGTAATCTTGATGATTCCTTGGTTAGGGTTTTTACATGTCTTATCTCTTCATCAAACGTATATATTATATTATTTGATTTTTTATTATCCAGTTCTGGTGAAATTATATCATTCCAAGCATCTTTGAACAGAAATAAAAAAGATCTCATAGAACCTGATTTATCAATAACTATAATATTTGTAATCTCTTTTGAATTTATTTTATCAACTTCGATATTTTTTTTTAAATCGTTTTTTGAATCCGTCTTATTTTCTTTCATAACTAAAATTTTAAAATCCTTGTATGATTCATCTTTCTGAAAAAAAAATAAAAGAATATTAATATTGGTTAAAATAAATTAAATAATAAACAATATAAGTAATACATAAAAAAAAACGAATAATTTTTTTTAAAAAAAAATAAATAATTAGAATATTTAATTACTTTAAAATATTATATTCACTATTTCCATTCTAAATATATATGGAACATTAAATTTTTTTAAGTTACCACTTTGTGAGCATATCTTTCAAAAATCAGATTTTTTATATGGTCCTCCATAATTAAACAGTAGTCCAAATTATACTTTTTTTCTGTATAGTAATAATATGTTTTCTCTAGATGAATGAAGGTTGAATTAAATCACGTTTAAAGATTCCTCATTTATATATAGAAACATCTTAAAAAAAAAAGAATAATAAATTGTTAACAATAATGAATAGTATTAGTTAAATTTAAATAAAATTTTATTTTTTTGTATATGTAAAAATAAATAGTTTTTTTATTCTTCTTTAAATTAACATTTTTATAAGATAACATTATTAGTAATGGTATTATCTTAAAAAAAAGCAATATTTATTTAGTTAGTAAATTATTAATAACAATATTTTGCTTTAGAAAAAATAACTATGAATAATAATATATTAATTGGATCTTTGATTACATCTTTAATTATAATAATTGTATTAATAATTTATGTAATTTCTTTATTCGAACAAATTAAAAAATTAAAAAATGGATCTGATAATGATCAAAATGATTTAATCGAATTAAAATATGATTATAATAAAACAGAGGAAAGATTGTTAGCTGAACAAATAATAAAAGAAGAACTTAAAACTATAGATTTAACAAAATTATTTAATAATTACCCAGAAAATCAAATTAATTTAGATGATACTTTTTATACATCAATAATTACAAACGAAGAATGGAAAAATGACGTGTACGTATTAAAGAATACTTCAATATATTTTAAAAATGTAATAATAAATAATGAGAAATTTTCAGAATTGCCTGATTATGATGAAATAATATATACTATGGAAAATTTTATTAATTCTTATAATAATTGGATTCCTCACTATAAAATTAATCCTGACGATGATTATAGATCGACTAAGAAATACTATTGTTTAAATTGGGAGATATTCTTAGTTTATTTGTGTAAATTTTTTATATATTATATCCTTTGGAATGATGGAAAAAATACATTCAAAACGATATCGGCCAAAAATTTATTGAATATAATTAAAATAGGATCTCAAAATAATTATTTAGAACATTTTCACGAATTATTTGTAGAAGATTTTGGTCCACAAGTTTCGCCATTAACCTCGAATTATACAATAACTGTAAATAATTGTAGAATTGTTGGATGTTTGGAAGGAGTTTCTGTAATATATTTACTTATAGCATACAAATATTTATATAGTAATATAGACGATTTCTATTTTAATGTATTTTCAAATTATTTAACTAATATTATAAAATCTTTAAATGATAATTTAGAAGATTCGCTAAATGAGAATTACACGTTATTATATAATATCAATGATCTTTCTCTAATTAAAAATGTTATAATAAATAACAGTAAAAAGACATCATCAATTAAATTGGATAGCGGTATATTTGATGCACATCTTTCTAATATTGATAATATCTTTTCAGTCGATGAAAATATACCAATAAATGTTAGTGTAGATAATTGTCTGTCTTTATTTCGATATTTTTATGCTATAGAACTTTTATCAAATCTTTCATCATCTTTAATGATTACAAACTCGAATTTATATAAAACAATTGGAGAAATAGAAACATTAACTAAACATCCAACTTTGTATAATAGTTCAACACCTTTGTATATTGGTGATGATTATACCTTTAGTTGCGGACTTAATGGAACTAAAACCGATAATTTTGGAATTAATATAATACCTAGTATTAAATATCTTAGGTTGTTTACACAAACTGCTGCTTTTAACGTAACTGGTGCTGATCTTACTACTCTTGGTTGTGGAAAAGCATTAGATCAATTTACCTCTTGTAAATTTTATTATAATGGTTTATTAAATTTAAACGAAACTTTTAATGGCTCTTTAATTGAGCCTATGGGTTTTAAATCTGGATATTTAGGAACTGCTGCATTATATAATAGAAATATTATTTATGAAAATAAAAATTATAATATTGAAGACAACAAATTTATTGGATTAATAAAACCTACAAGTGTTGATATAAATTCTTCAGACCTTATGGAAATGACTTTAGTTATAGATTCTAAAGGTCAATATACTTTAGCAGGTGATGAAATAAAAATTTTAAATTCTTGTGTTTTCTACGACAAAATAAATAATGTTGGTATATCACATTTGCATATCCAAGACAAATATAAAGAAATAATTGAATTTGTAATAATTAATAGCATTAACGATTCATACTATATAGATATATATAGAAAAATTAAAAACAATACTACAGAAATATATTCACATGTTAATGACACAACTGACGAAACAGGTATCATATCTATTCTTCCAAGTACTAGTATAAATGTTCACATCACGTATGATGTTAATGCTAAAAGTTCAACTAATTTTACTTCAACAGATGAATTTGAAAATATGGATTTTGTCAATAAAATAATTACATTAAACGAATTAATTTATACCGTTAAAGATTCTTATATATATTTTTCTGATAATTCCAGCACAACTCCAATTGCTAATAATAATGTTTTATATTTAAACGATAATCCAATAATTATATGTCCAACGTATAGATTATGTAATAATAATATAATATATGATGATGAAAAAAATAAATTTAGTTTTAATAAAATGAGCAATCAATGGTTATTTATAGCAGCTTAATTTTTTTTTCACAATTTTTATAATCGACTAAAATTCTTAATATTTTTTTTTATTTATAATGAGATTACAACCGTTAAACTTAAAAATTAACGTCTCAATATTTACCAAATATCAAGTAATAAAAATACCAAATACAGAAGATGAATTTGTAAAGAATCATAAAGTGTTAGAAGATAAATATTCAAATATCGTTAACGATTTATTTTATACTAATACAGAATCCTTATTTAATATCATAACAGCATGTTCATCTTTTATTGAAGAATGTAATAATAAAGATGATTTTGATTTCAAAGAAAAAGGGATATTTCTTGTCAATAGATTTACCTTTAACTTTATTAATGGACTAGATAACAATAATTATTCAGAAAGTTACGAAACTTCTTATATTTACCTGTATAAAATATATTTGTATTTATCTTTTTATTTATTATTTAAATATAAAGACATAAATATTTCAAAGAATGTATGTTGTATAATTTTAAGAAGACTCGATTCTATATACATGTTTTTGAACAATTATCCACGACCACAATTTGAACAACATCTTACTAAGGATATTGTATCATCTTCAGCTTTCTTATTACCTTATATTTTAGCAAATCAATTATATTCTGATAAAGTAGATTATAGAAATAGAAAAAATTATTTTAATGTAATATCAAATTACAACACTGTCAAAAAGGTATTCACATTATCAAATACAGAAAATAATATTATAATGACACCGCCTAATTTACTTCAAAATTATAATAGATCTGTCAATATAAAAAAAGATTATGGCCTCTTAGAAAATTCGTTCGAAAATTCTTTTGATTTTGTTAATTACACTACTCTATTATATTTAGTAACAGAATATGAAATATTAAAACAATTAGACGAATCATTAAGCGTAAATTTATTTAATACGTACGAAAAAATTCATAAAATAGTTTATCATCCAAAATTATCTTCTGTACCATTAAAATTATTCGTAAATGATACGAATGTTTCTTCTATAACAAACATTGATGATAATTATGGTATACAAATAATACCAAGTATAAAAGTCCTTAAATATTCCACACAAGATTTAAATTTTGTTGTTCAAGGATTCAATTTTAGTCCATTTTCTACGAGAGATATTTCATTAGAAAATAGTATTCCGTATTTTCCTGGATATGAATTATTACTATTAAATATAAATAACATAGGACGATTTTTTGTAACAAAAGATAATAACTCTTTCTTTCCAGAAAATTTTACAACAGACATTTATAAAAATGCAGTAGATCTCGCCAGTTCCAAAAAAACTTTTTATCCACTAATTTCTTTATCATCCAATTGCGTTTTTAAATTAAACGAAACAGTTTCCATGTTTTATCTTAAAGATTTAGTTTTAGAAATGAATAAAGATATTAGATTGAACGAACTAATTATTATTGATAACAAAATAATAACAATTTATAGGGAAATTTCAAATACAAATACTACTACTTCTTATAGTGTAGCCTCTAAACCGTCAAATCCTCCCAACTTCAATTTTTGTTCTTCTCCTGATAATGTTTTACCAAATACAAAAAAGTATTGCACTTATATATACGATACAGAAACCTTGAACTATACATATGATTCAACTAGTTTCTCTTTTGGAGACCTTAAAAATTTTAAATATAATGATGATACTTATACTTTTAATAATTTTACAAGTAACGGCAATGTTATAATTAATAAAAATTCTAAGCCATATGTTCTTTGCCCACATTATTGTTTAGCTGATCAAGATATAATAACAGAAAAATATAATGGTACCATTTATTCATTCAAATATTCAGAAATGTATAATCAATGGTATAAACTGTAACTTCTTTGTATATAATTTTATCTTTCACCATTATCTATTAAATATAAATACTCATAAAAAAGGATTTTTAATTTTCGTCAACATCAATAATTTATTCAAAAATAAATTATTGCGTTTTATAAGAATTTTATTTAAATAAAAATATACATTTAATAGTAAATCATTAAATAAATTATAAAACTATGAATGTTTTATTAATATTCTTAATAATATTTATAATATTAACAATTTTTTTAATTGTCTATATTATTTTTTCCAACAAAAAAACCATAGATGTAAATTCAGATGATTTATTGGAATTAACTTATGATTATAATATGACTGAAGAAAGATTATTGGCAGAAGAGATAATTAATAAAGAAATTGAAAATATAAACATCGTATCATTGTTCAACGAGTTTCCAGAAAAATATATCGAATTTGAAGATAATGAATATTTAAACATCGATCCTAAAAATGGATTGTGGAAAAGTGATGTCTATGTTTTAAAAAATATAACAGTATATTTTACAAAAATAATTATTGAAAACGATAAATTTTCACAATTTTTTGATTATGAAATCATACTTTCTAAATTAGAATTTTTTATTCATTATTTTAATAAATGGATTCCTTATTATAGTAATTTATCTTTAACTGATATTGAACCAGAGAACGATAACAAGTTTAGAGATTACTATTGGAATTGGGAAATATTCTTGGTATATGTCTGTAAGTTTTTTATATATTATTTACTTTGGGTGAATGGAAAGAATAATTTTAAAGCAATTGCTGCAAAAAATATTACGTGCATTATTAAGATAGGATCACAAGATATTTCAAAATACTTATACGATTTAAAGGAAAATAAGGTTAATTTGGGTACAACAAATGTTTTTTTAACTTCCGATTATACAATAACAGTAAATAATTGTAGAATTGTTGGAAACTTAGAAGGTGTTTCAGTAATTTATTTATTAATTGCTTATAAATTTTTATATGGCAGATTAAATAATCGTTCTTTTAATATATTCTCGAATTATTTAACTAATATCATAAGATCTTTAAATGACAATTTGGAAAATTCTTTGAATGAAAATTATACTTTATTATATAATGTTCCATTTGATTCTCAAATAAATGTTTTATTAAAACAAAGCAATTATGGAAAATCTATAAAATTAGATGACGGATTATTTAATATACATCTTTCAAATATTGAAAATTCTGATTTTCCTTTTTATGATGAAAATATACCACTTAATGTTAGTATAGATAATTGTTTGTCGTTATACAGATATTTCTATTCAATAGAACTTTTATCAAAGTTTTCACCATCTTTAGAAAATATTATTAAAACTTCTAGTTTATACGACACCATTAAAAGTTTAGAAATAATAACTAAACATCCAACTTTGTACAATAGTTCAATACCGTTATATATAGGTGACGATTATTCTTTCAACTGTGGATTGAATAATATTACAAATAATAATTTTGGAATAAAAGTAATACCTAGTATTAAATATCTTCGATTGTTTACAGAAAATGCAACTTTTAGTGTACTAGGTAGTGATATAACTGCTTATAATTTCAATAAGAATTCAAATGTAATGAGTAGAATGGAGCAATATTTTACATATAAATTTGGATATAACGGATTAATCAATATAAAAAAAGAACCCACATTAATTCTAGAATCATCGTTTAAAGCTGGATATTTAGGCGATATAATCAAATATAGTAGAAATATTTATTTCGACAATTTAGTAAATGACAAATTTATTGGTTTAATAAAATCTCAAGGCACATATATAAATAATAAAAATTTTACGTCAATGCAGTTATGTTTAGATTCTTCAAAATCTTTTGTAGACAATGATTTTCTCTGTGTTTCATCTTCATGTGTTTTTTACGACGAATTAAATGATATAGGTATATCATATCTGGAATTGAGAGATTTTGCGACAGACTATAAAAAAATGTATGAAATTATATTAATTGATAATAATAATAGTATAATAAACATACATAGGCAAATAATAAATAATACAACTGATACATTTAGTCATATAAGTAATAATACTGGAACCAGTAGTGATATTACAACAATATCTCCAAATAGTACAATAAATATTAAAATTACATATAATTATAAGGATAAAATCATTAGTAATTTTTCATCCGAAACTATTTATGATGGTATTAATTTTGAAACTAAAACATTTTCAATTAATGAAATAATTTATAAAGTAACAAAATCGTACAAATATAATGGTGAAACAAATTTAGATGGACCATTTGATAGTAATACTATTTTATATCGTAACGATAAACCAATTATATTATGTCCATCAAATAAATATTCTAATATTAATATAATATATGAATATTCTATTGGAAAATTCATATTCAATAAAACGAGCAATCAATGGCTTTATATAGATAACTAAAATGAGATTAAAACCTTTAAATATTAATTCTTGTTCTATATGTACTGAATTTCAAATAATAAAAATAGAAAATACCGAAGATGCCTTTATAAAAAATCATTCTGCATTAAATAGTTTGCATTATAATACAAATGGAATTTATGTTTCTCAGGCAAATAATATACCTAATAATTTACAAATATGCTCAACATTTATTGAAGAGTGCAATACAAAAAATAATTTTGATTATAAAGAAAAAGGAACATATATTGTTAACAGATATACGGATATGCTATATATGCGTTTATTTATTTATCCACAATCGTACTTTGAAATAGATTATGATAGTTCATTTAAAATATATCTTTATTTCTCATTTTACTTATTATTCAAATATAAAGATGAAAAAGTAGCAAAAAATATAAGTAGAATGATTTTAGAACGATTTGACAATATATTTAGTCCGTTGAATAATTTTGAAGATTTAAATAGACCTCATCTTTATACATTTGACATTGTAACTGCATCAGTTTTTCTATTACCATATATTTTAGCGAATCAATTATATTCTAATAAAATTGATTTTAGGAATAGAAAAAATTATGATAATGTTATAAAACTTTATAACAATATTAAACAAGTATTTTCATTGACAAATAAAACACTATTTAATATAATGACACCATCAAATTTACTACAAGAGTACAATAGAACTGTTAATATAAAAAAAGATTTTGGTCTTTTAGAAACACCAAAAAGAAATTTCTACGAATTTATTAATTATACTGTTTTATTGTATTTATCTATTGAATATGAAATATTAAAACAACTCGATAATTCAATTAGTGAGAATTTATTTAATACGTATAAAACAATACATCAAATTGTTTATCATCAAACTATAGCTTCTTTACCACTAAAAATATTTATAAGTACGAAAACTAATAATCTTGTACAAAATACTTATGTTTCTTCTGAAACTCTAATTGATGATAATTTCGGTATAAAAATAATACCAAGTATAAAGTTTCTTCGATATTTTTCAACAGACATAAATTTCTCTGTTCAAGGATTTAATTTCGAACCATTCGATATATATAACGGTACAAGTTACGATAAATTTACTGTTCCAATTGAAAATAATAATTTAGCCTATAATTCATATTATTATGATATGAATAATATAAATAATATAGGAAGAATATTCTTATCAAAAGACAAACAACCAGATTCTTTTATAAAATTTACAACAAATATATACGATTCTTTTACTTTTCCTAATAATTGTTGTTCTGTAATAGATCTTTTGTCTAATTGTTTTTTCAATTAAATGAAGATGTAGCTATTTCTTATATTAATGGTCTAGTATTAGATGTAGTCAAAGATATTACTCTTAATGAAATTATTATTATTGAAAATGGAATAATAACGATTTATAGAGAAATAATAAACAACAGCGATTCAAATGTACATCAATTATATTTAGAACCAAGCGACACAAATTTTAACATACCAAGCAATAATGCATATCAATTAGGATTTAATGATACTGTTTTTTGTAAATATATTTTTAATACAGAAACTTTGGAATACACTTATGAACAAACAATATTTGATTTTGAAACATTAAAAATTTACACTTTAAATGGAGACAGTTATAAATTTAATAATTTTACGAATAATGGCAATGTTATAATTTCTAAAAATTCTGAACCGTATGTTTTATGTCCAAATTATTATTTGGCGAATAATGATATAATTACAGAAATAAATGAGAGTAATGAATTATTGTCATTTAAATATTCAGAAACTTACAATCAGTGGTATAAAATAAATTAAACTACTTTTAAATTACAATCGCATAAAATATATATAATTCCGTCATTTTTTTTTCGTTGATTATTAATAAATTCATCATCATAATACTCAATATATGTAATTATTTTGCACTCTCTTAAAAATGTTTTACCAAGTGATAATTCCTTATAAGTTGAATGAAAATAGTTATTATAATCACATTTAAAATTAATATTTATATCTTTTTTACCTTTAAAATTTAAATTTTTATGTTCGCTGCATCCAAGATGAAATAAAAAATTAAGTCCATTGCAAATACTACAATTGAACGAATCATGAATTTTTTTATCTATACAATAATTAGAATATTTATCAACTCTTCCTGTTTTAAATGTGAATAAACCAGTTAAATTTATTATATTATCACTCCTTTCTAATAATATATTACTCCAAGGTTGTTGAAAATTTAAATATGCCCGTTCATTTGAATATGTATTATAAATAAAAATAGGTGCTTTTAAATCTTTATATAATAATTTAATAAAAAAACCATAAGCACAATTTGATGTAACTGTTGCTAATTTCATATTTGCAAAATCTTCAATTTTAATGAATCCTTCTTTAGTGTGAGAACAATATAAAAGAACTAGTCCAGTTATACCTCTTACTTTTATATCTTCGCCATTTTTATTCTTTTCTGTTTTAATACATGTATAAGAATTATCTAAGACATAAAAATTAGAGACTGAAAATATTTCATACAAAGTACTTTTAACATCAAATAATACATTTATCTCTTTTAACCAATTTGTAATTTTAGTGAATTCTAATGAATCAACATATCTTTTTAATCGTTCTATTATATCGTCTTCAGTAAGACCTTCTTTACAATATTTGTAAGCAATTGTATCTTGAATGAAATCATTATCCTCTGCTATTAAAAGCGTTAAATCTCGGTAAATCCATTTTGTACAATTTAATTGTAATATTTTAAATGTTTCATTATTAAACTCATTGTTAGAATAAAAATATGGCACATCTATCCACATTAAATTTCTAGTAATTGTTTCAGAATTATTTATTGGAATAATTGTATAAATTGCAGGATCAAACCAACTTCTCTTTTCAAGAATTCTATCTAGGTTATAAAAAATACCATCATTCAAATAACCAAAAGGAAATTTTTCACAATAAAAATTTATTTGTAACTTGTTATTTGTAGAAATAACTTTTATTCTATTGCTTAAAATATTTATCTTTTCTATTTTTTCTTCTTCACTGCATAAGTCCCAATCATTTTCAGCTTCACACCATTTTCGTTTTATACTCAAATTTAATGTTCCATCATTATCTTCTTGTTGAGTCTCTTTAAGTTTTTCTTCTAATTTTTTTTCTGTTGTTTTAGAAAAATCAAATTCGTCGAATGAATTAGTTTCATTTATGTCAATATCATTTTCTGCATTTACAATTAAAACATCAGGATCAGAAATTGCTTCACTAGAGTCAGAAGATTCTGTGTTTATTATAAAGTTTTCAATTTTTTTTATATTTGAACCATTTAACGTAAAATAATTTGAATCTTGCATCTGAAAATAAAAGAGATGAACTAATAAATACAGTTATTTTAACTGGTTTGAACTAATAGATTATTTCATATTTACTTTGATAAATTTAATGAAATAAAATATTTACAAAAGACATTTCCAATAGGGTTTAAAAATTATAAATTTCTATATAATTTAGTAATGTTTTTCTGATGTACTCCCAATTGTACTGATTTAAAAAAAGAAATTGTGTTTTTATATAAGTAACGTTGAAATTTAAAAAAGAATGAATACAAATATTTTTATATATATTGCAAATAATATGAAAAATAATTTTTTCACTATTAAAAGCAATAAACCGAAAACGAGTAAATTATTTAATAAATCTAAATTGTATTTTTTACTTTCTCAATTTGAAACTTACGAATTCGAATTATACGAACTTTTGGAACAATTTTCTTTAGAAAAGAAATTTTTATCTTTACCATTAGATTTATATCTTCCATTTATATACTTACAACTCGTAGGAAACTTATTTTCTCAACCATTTATTTCAAGAAGAGACACTTTAAGTGCAATTAGTAAATACGACAAAGACGGAATTATTAAAAAATACACAAAAAATCAACTAGCTTTTATACATAAAACGTTTAAATATGGTTCTTATTATATTGTTTTAACTAAAAGAAAAGATTTATTTATACCTTGGAATGATTACTGTATGCCACATTATACAAGAAAATTAAATGAAATGAAAAGAATAGTGGAATCAGAATATAATACAAATATAAATACAGTAAATGATTTTATAAGAACTACTATTTCTGAAAATACTTTGAAACAATTGAAACAAATTGCAACATGGATAAAGAACGAAGACGTAAAAAAATTAAAAGCAATATTATTTAATAATAAAAAAAATTGGGATAATTTTCATAATAATACATTCAATAGTGCAATAATGATAAATGGAACTGCTTGTTCTGGGAAAACAACTTTAATAAATAAATGCGTTGAAACCATTAAAACAACTATCGACAAAAATTCTACGGTTTTAAAAATAGGTTCTTTGGGCTCGTTTATTGGTAAAGATAATAATCAAATATTAGCGATGGAGTATCAATATGTTGCAATAAGTACTGGTAGAATATATTTTACTAGTATTTTTGATAGATGTATTTTTAATAATTTATTGTGGAGAATTATTTTAAAAATGCAAAATAGTCAAGACGATATAATTTCTATATGCTTAAATTCTTTATTAGATATTTCACCGTTTGTTTTTGAATTAATGAAAAAAGAACCAATTATAGTTCTTATCGATTTAAATTCAAAGAAAAACAGAGAAAGAATGTACAAGAGAAATGATGGAGGTGATTATTTTCGTTACCTTGTTGAGAATTATGTTGTTGCACAAAATATAGTTTATGGAGTATTCAGTTATTTATGTTCTTGGCCAATATTTAATACCCGATTTGAAGAATACGAAGAACATGCTAATGAAGAATATTTTTTAGAAAACATTTGTAAGAAAATTAAAAATAATATTCATAATAATAATAAATATCCAGAAGAATATCTTGTTGAACGTCAAAAATTATTGAAAAGTAATAATACAGATAACGACTCTTGTTTTAATCACTCCAAATTATTAGGTATATTTAAATGAGATTATGAAAAAAATATTAAAATACTATAAAATTTAAAATTTTAAATTTATAGTTGTAAAATCTGTTTTATCTTAATATCTTAATATATTGGTTTTGCAGATATCATTTTAATTATAGGTTGTTTTATATTTTTTTTAAATAAAAGAACTATTTGAACTACTTAAAATCATGCCTTATTATATTTTACTTGCACTATCAGCCTTTACTATTTTTATAGTTTTTTCAATAGGTGGACTAAATCCTACAATTTATTTCATCTTTATGATTATTTGTTGCTTACTTATGCTGTTTCATTATAGAAATTACGAAAGTACTAAAAACATAGACACGTATGAAGATATCGATGATTCGGATGAAGATGAATATTCAGATGAAGAAAAAGATTCATCAGATGAAAATATTGTTAAAACTAAATATAAACGAAAACGAGAAAACAATGAAAATGAAAGTTTATCGACTAATAAAAAATATAAAGAAAAAAAAATTGAGTTTGAAAAAAATATATCTACTACTGTAGATGATTTTAATAAACGATTGAAAGTTATTGAAGATTATATAAAAGGTACTCCTCCTATGGAAACTAAAATATAATAGTAAAATTATTTTTAATATTTTATTTGAATAAAGTGCATAAAAAGTTAAATAAAATGGTCCAAAATGTAGATGTTCGTGTTTTTACTGAAATGATTCTAAAAAATAAATTTGTTTCTAAACATTTATCAAAAGAACGACGTAAATCGTTACGCGAAAAAATACTACATTCTTTCCCAAGAAAAATTTCAAATATTGATAAATATAAAACCAAGATAAAAGAAATAATTAATGAATATACTGACAATTTTAATTTTGTTATAAAGCCTATGATTCGAAATACTGTATTTTATACTTTAATAGCAAAATTTAAGCGACTTCAAAAAGGAACTATTAAATTGGTAAAAAGAAAAAAAACAAAAAATAACATTGAATATATCAATATGAATAGTCCACTGGATTTAAAAGATAGCACAGATTTTTCAAATGATTCTAAAAATACTAAGGAGCCTACTGAGAAAGATGAAAATCAGAGATTTGTTGGATTACAAGATTCCATAATTTTAAGGAAAAGAAATCTTAAAAAAAGATATAGAAAAGTTTAAAAAAAATAAATAATTATTTGATTCATTTTTTTATATTAAATTTTTTTATTAACACTTCTTTTAAAAACACTATTAAATTTTGAAACTATATCGTATTCACGAATACTTAAAACATAAAAAAGTATAGATAAAATAATCAATATTAGTAAAAATATTTTTGATAGAACCGACAATGAAGATGCAAGAATAGTTAAAACAACGATAATTAAAGGGAGTAAGATTAGTGTCGGATAAACAAATTTTGATGTGTCTTTTATAGTTTTATCAGTATTTGTCGGTTTATTAGTTTTAATCGTTGTCATTTTGTGCAAATTAACAGCATCAGTTAATTGTTGATCAATTAGTGAATTTTTATTACTTTGGTTAATATCATCCATTTTTTAAAAAGATGCAAAAATCTATATTATAATAAAATTAATGAATATTGTTATAATAAAAAAAAAATATTTTTTTATTAAAATAATATATTGAAATGAATGTTAAATGTTATAAAGTTCTATATTTTTTATATAATCAAAAATACTTATTGCCATTAAATAATCGAAAGTTGTTGGTAAAATACTATATTTAAAAATATCAATTTTTTTATGAAATTTATAAAGTTCAAATTCATAACTACACTCTTCAAATACGTTCAAAATTACATTTTGTAAAATACCAGAAACATTTGCGTTTAAACTTTTATTTATAAAATAAAAAAAATTAATTAAGTTCATTTGTTCTTCATAATTAAAATTCTCATCTATGATGCTTATTATTGGTTTTTTATGTAGTAATAAGTTGCGATCTTTTAAACTTTGCTTATCAATTGTAAAATATTTATCGTTATTTGTATATATATCTAGTTCATTATCATCATAATTATAGAAAAATATACAATCATTTAAATTTATTGAAGCTAATATATCAGAAATGTTTTCGTATTTAAAATTAAAAAATTTGAATGCCATAATTTTTATTAACGATTTAAAATCGTTATGTGTAAATTTATTTTTAAAAAATCCTCTATATGATTTATGCAAATACACTATTGAATTATTTACAATTAATTTAACTGCTGAATCATTTAACGCTTTATTTAATATGTAGTAATGGGATCGAAGTAAATTTGTTTCTTCAATTAATCTATTATCTAAAATATTATCTTTATTCATTATGAAAATTTTTTTTTCACCTATTGAAATAAAAAATAAAAAAGTAAAATTTGATATGAAAATATTATTAAAAACTGAACCGTTTATTTTAATTAAGAATAAAGAGAATGACGCAAAGAATAATTCATTAATATTTAAAACAAAAAAGACAGTTTCTTTATTAAAACACAAAAAAAAATCTATAGTAATTGGGAATAATTCAATAAAGATCTTTATAAACGATGTTAATATCTTAAATTTAATAAAAATTTTAAAGCCAATGAATTTAAAAAATTTATATATTATAGATAGTGATGAAAAATACGATAAAACTAGTAAATATAAATACTTTCGAAATTTATGTGATTTATTGAAAATAAATATTTTAATTTATACATACATTTGAAAAAAAAAGATGACCATTAAATATTTTTTATTTTATAAGTTTTTTTAATATCATCTTCTAATTTTTTAAATAGTACTTTATATTTTTCAGTTCTAACTTTCTCGTTTTTAATAAGCGGTATTTTCACGAAATAAACATAATCGCCTATAGAATTTGAGTTTAGATCATCTACTAATATTGAAAATTTTATAGAACAAATTTTATATTTTTTATTAAGTTCTTTGAATACTAAACCTTGACCTTTATTCATGCAATTTTCTGTGAATTTTCCTTTACAAAGAACAAGATTGAAGTAATTTTTTATATTCACTTGGTCGAATGCGTGTGAAACATGAGGACAATTACCATGTGACCATAAAACCATGTAGTCGACTAATTTTTTCATTTTTTCTAAAATCTCTATTATATTATAAGTCATTAATTTATAATTTTTATCTATTAATGTATCATCCAAATCGAAAACTATAAACGATTTACTAGTTTTATCGGTACAATTTTCGAAAAATTTTTGTTTATAATTATTCAAATTTTGAAGAATCGCTTTTATAGAATCTCTATTTAATATAATATTAACTACGGCATTATTCATTTGCCTATAATCGAAGTAATCTATATGAATATTAAATTTTCTTTCCTTTGACATTTCATTATTATGGAGAGATAACAAACGAAATCTAATACTATAATGTAAAATACACGGATTTATTTTTTGTATATAATAAAGTCTATTAGTTTTATCTTTTACTGTATTAGTTTCTCTTTTTTTTATATTAAAAGAAGTTTCTTTTAAAAAATCATTATAAAAATCAACGCTATCTATTATATAAACATAAGTATACATTTTTAAAAGTTCGTTTAATAATAACAGCAATTCTTC